ACTGCAGCATCCCGCCATGGCTTTATGAGACCACAGCCGGCTGCCAGAGTCCAGCAGCCCCGGGGCCTGTAAATGTGGGACCTAAGAAAGCACAGACCTGGGGCTCTGTCACTGCCTCACCCTGGAGAGTCTGTTATGGCAGCAAATACCCAGGAAGACTCGCCCCGTGACCTTCCTCCCAACTAAATAAAGCACTTAGGATTTTGCACTGGCATTTGGATGAACACACTGGCATCGAGGGGGACCACACATGCTCTGAGGGGAGCATTTGACCCGGCTTGTTTGTAAAGTGGACCAGCCAGTTGCAATTGTGCCTTACAAAGGTCGCCAGCTTGTGGGAGTAGGACTGACGTTGAAGTGGAAGTTCCAGTGGAACGTGCAGTTTTCCCCGATGGGTCTTTAGGCCCCATTCTGCTGCCTGCGTTTGCTGAAATTCCTAAAGAAGAGAGGATGGGCCTGGAGGGGCTCAATCGGCACCACCTACCGCACGCTGAGGCTCACCTCACCTCCCACCATCAGACCTCAACGTCGATTCACCACCAGCTGCACCTCACAGGATTGCCCGCAGCTCTGGTCTTTGTGGAATCATGTTTGTCACATCTTTAGTGATAATTAAACTGATATTTGCTGATGCATTATTTCATTTAATTTGCATAACAGCAGTATGAGATGGAAGGACTGTTATCACCCCTATTTTACAGATGATGAGGCCCCCAGAGAGGTTAAGTAACTTGCCCAAGGTCACACAGCTAGCAAGGTGCAGAGCTGAGGTTTGAGCCCAGGCGGTCCTCACTGTTAACTAGCACCGCATGCCTTGGCATTTCCACAGGGTTGTATAATCAAGTTCTTGTCTTTTGCTGCTTCCAGGCTTAAGTCAAGACAGCCCTTCTCTCCTTCACTGTTTCTTCCCGCCTTCTTATTCAGTCCTGCTGTTTGTGCTTCTGAACAGCATTCCTCCTGGACACCACCCGCCAGAACTCATGGTGCTGTTTGGGTGAGGTTTCCGTGAGCAGGAGAAGGAAGGTCTCAGGGACCCCCTTTCCTTAGCTCCCTCTGCGGTGAATCCCCACGCAGGGCAACTGTGACCCTGCAGCTTGCCCCCTGGGGAGCCCAGGGCTGCAGTCTTTCAGCAGCACAGCCAGGGGCACCTCTGCTCACCCCATGGGCCAAATCCAGGGCGGCAAGGAGCCTTCCGGCCTCTCCAGGCAAGGACCCGCTCAGGCTACAAATGGGAACATCAGCTCTCTGTACGGCAGCCCCATCTGCCAACCCTGGAGTTAGTCCCAAAAAGCCGATTTCGCTGGTTATTTAGACGATCCGTCCTCCTTTGCTCTCCCCTACCTTCTTACTAGCCTGGCCACAGCTTGCTGAGAAAAACACTTGAGAGGCTTTTGCTCTCCACACCCACACACTTAAAATACCAGGCCCATAGGTCATTTTGATGACGGAATCTGGTTAATAACACGCATGCTGTAGGTGCAGCTACCACTGCTGCAGGTGCTGGCTAAGAAGGGCTGCATCTCGGCAGGGGCAAGCCGGGGCGTGGTGGGGGCGTGGTGGGGGCGTGGTGGGGCGTGGTGGGGGCGTGGCCAGGGCGGAGGGAAGAGGACAGAGGGCATAGTTCCGAGGGTTCAGTGTGCCCACTGGGTGGCTGTCCCCAGGTGTCAAGTCTGGTGCCAGGTCTGCTCGGAAGAATACAAGGAAGCAGATGGCAGAGTTCTCCTGAAGTGGAAAAATGTCACACACACCTATGAGCAAAATGACATCTCTTATTGCCTCTGTCTATGAGGTCATAAGCAGATGTCCTGGTGCTCAAGGCTGTAAACAATAGTCCGTTGTGCAGGACGCGAACCGGAATACCCCACCTTCGTGAGCCACAGTTACTGTGGCCCAAATGCCCCACCTAGTAGCTTTTACTGGACAGACACTTCTTGACTGCACGTAAAATGATGGGCATAAAATAGTAGAATTATAATTACAAGCAACGATTTCACAAATATTCCCTTTGGTTGAATTTCCTTCCCGATTCAGTAGGCCAGTCTGTGGTTAACCAGGGTAAGCGCCAGGAGCCCAAATTCAGCTCAGTTAGAAACTGCTTTTGAACTATAACCCAGGCTTTCAATTAGCTGTTGAGTACAGTTTGGGTACATTAGTGTCACCAGGACTGTTTTCGCTTTTGGGGGCAGGGGCAGAGCATGGAAAAGGTACCACGAGTCTGGATTACTGGTGCTGGTACCACTGAGTCTGAAGGTAGAGATTTAGGACCTCATGACAATAATGTGAAGCACAAAGCTGGAAATCTGGGTTTTCCATGTATCCAAGCTGTGTGACTTTGGACAAACCGCTCACCCTTTCTGAGCCTTAGCTTTGCTACCTGTTAACCAAGGACAATAAAATCTTTCTTGTTTATTTCATGAGCGTGTTGTGAGAACCCAATAAAATAGTATATGGGAAAGTGCTTGAAAACTTGTAAGTTTTACACAGACCTGAAAAGGCCAACATTAGGAAGACAGTGATTCTCTGGTGTCATTTAGGAATTCAAGAGTAGGATGGTTGTAAACTTATGGTTACCAAAGGGGAAAGGGACAGGGAGGGACAAATTAAGAGTTTGGGATTCACAGATACATACTACTATATATCAAATAGATAAACAACAAGGACCTACTGTATAGCACAGGGAACTATATTCAATATCCTGTAATAACCTATCATGGATAAGAATCTGAAAAAGAATATATATGAAAAAGTATATATATATGTAACTGATCACTTTTCTGTACACCTGAAACTAACACAACATTGTAAATCAACTATACTCTAATAAAAAGTTTTTAAAAATTAAGAAAACAAGAATAGGATGGTTGTAGGAGGGCCGCCACAGGAGTGGGACTGTTTGGGGGGTAAAACCCACAGGTACAGAGAGAGTAGCTGTCACTTGTGGTGCCAAGACTGGAACTCTATGACATTTGGTGTCTGGACTGAGTTGAATAGCATTCCCTAAAAAGTCATGTCCGTGGGTGACCTCAGAATGTGACCTTATTTAGAAATAGGGGCTTTGCAGATGTAATCAAGTTAAGATAAAGTCATACTAGAGTAGGGCAAGCCCTAAATCCAGTGACTGGTGTCCCTGTAAGGAGAGGGAGATTTGGAGACAGAGGACAGAGAGGGAGGGAGGCCACATGAGGAAGGAGGCTGAGAGTGAAGTGATGCTGCCACAAGCCAAAGAATGCCAGGGATTGCTGGGAACCGCCAGAAGCCAGACAAGGCCAGGACAGATTCTTCCCCAGGGGGAGTACGGCCCTGTCGACACCGCAACTGCGTCAACACCTCAGCTTATTGTCTCCTAGCGCTGGACACCGGAACTAGGAGACAGTAAATTTCAGTTGTTTTAAGCCACCCAGTTTGTGGTAATTTGTTACAGCAGCCCTAGGAAGGAAATATAGTGTTTTCATGGAATCTCTGAAATGCTGAAGTTGCAGGCAGCCGGGGAAACACCCCTGGCACAGGCACACGCCTACACACGGAGATGGGCACCGGGATTGCATCTAGAAGATAAAACCAGGGACTTCCCTGGCAGTCCCGTGGTTAAGACTTCGCCTTCCAATGCAGGGGGTGTGGGTTCCATCCCTGGTCAGGGAGCTAAGATCCCACATGCCTTGGGGCCAAAAAACCAAAACATAAAACAGAAGCACTATTGTAACAAATTCAGTAAAGACTTTAAAAATGGTCCACGTTAAAAAAAAAAAAAATCTTAAAAAGAAAAAAGAAGATAAAATCAGAGTTAAAGGTGACATTGTATGTATCCCATGAACGCCTTCATTTTGCAAACCAGGAAGCTGAGATCTGGAGAGGTCAAATATTGGTACAGGAACCTAAATCTTCTAACTCTCTTGCAGGAAGAGCTGTGCCTCTCTCTCTCTCTCTCTCTCTCTCTCTCCTCCCCCATACACACACACACACACATACACACACACACACACCTTTGAATACCATGTGCCAGATGCTATTTTAATGATTTTACTCATATTAATTCATTTAACCTCTCCCCAAATTCGATAAGGTAGGAGAAGTTATATGTACCCATCTTCCATGTAAGGACACTGAGGCACAGGGAGGGCTAGTGACTTGTCAAAGGTCAGCTAGCCAGAATTCAAAACCAGAGGGCATTCTCTGAACTGCTTAGCAAAGAAGAAATGCTTTTAAGTAACTAATGTATTTATATATTAATACTTTTATTATAAATTATACATTTCAAAACAATTTTTAAAAATTATTAAAAGCATTGCATTCGACCTATGCAATGAAGACATGCTTGCATTTCTTAAGCATGTATAAAATGCTTAGATGGAAATCCATCTGCGTATTTATGCTAACAGTTGTCATTGAATCTCAATCTGTCAGCTACATGTCCTTAAATCCATTTATTGAATATAAATTTTGTCTGGCCAACCCCATGAGTGCCTATAATAACATCTGGCCTTTCAAAATAATATTTAGAATCAACCAGCAAATAGTATTTTTAACATAGAGAGAATCATTCCAATTTAGCCTAGCCTCAAACTTAGGAATTCTATCTTTCCTAATCCTTGGAGGTACAAACAAGTTTAGAGGGCAAAGACAGAAATGGTTTCTTTTGCTCTGAGCTTATTAAAAGGGAGGACCTGGGGGCAAGGAGTGGACGGCTGCCAATCTGCTCCTATGTCCCTGGGGTCCCGACCTGAAAGAAAACACAACTGAATCTCTCTTGATCCTGTGTTATTCATGACTAAACAAAAGCCACGTGACTAAGGGAAGTGTCACATCTAGACAACGTAGATGTACATTCCAAAATTTAAGCAAAGCCAAACTCAAAGGAGTATTGGAAAAACCAGTAATGCGTGCTGAAGTCCTGCCACCTTTCCAGCGTGAGGGCTGGAAATCATAAATTAATTTTGAATTACCCAGCAGATATATTCAGGCCATTGCCTCATTCTTCGTTGCTCTCTTTTGTGTTCCAACAGGAAAGAGCTTCACTCTGACCATCACCGTCTTCACAAACCCACCACAAGTTGCCACCTACCACAGAGCCATCAAAATCACAGTGGACGGACCCCGAGAACCTCGAAGTAAGTGGGCCGCCCCCCGGGGCTGGCACCTTCCCTCCCAGCTGGTACGCTCAGGCACCAGAACCCTTGTGTTCCATCAGCATCACTCAGATGTGGCTAAAACTTCTGCCACAGGGAAATGTCAGACCCCTGCAGGGAGGGAAAATTTTCCTTTTGACACTCTCGCTCCTCAAAGTTGTCTCTGAGCGCTGGTACAGAGAGAGTAGCTGTCACTTGTGGTGCCAAGTGACACCTTGAAGCATCTTCTTGGAGGGCAAAAGGAAATCAGGCTGACTCAAGTGCATGTCAGAATCATTTCAGGACTGCATGGGCCTAAGGACCGAATACGTGGTAAAGTTCAAGGAAGATTGGCCAGGGGCAGAGGTGGTCAAAAGAGGCCAGAGGGTCAGAGTGGACCACAAGGGGCTGATCACCATCCATGCTGGCCTTTTATTCACTTGGAGGCTGGAGATGAAATCTATGAAAATGACCCTTTCCTTTCTGTGCCACAGATCAAAATCTTATTACAGGATTGTTTAAAATAGAGCATGGGAGGGGAGAAGAGTGCCTGAGAGAAAACCAGTAAATATAGAAAGAGGGTACAAAAAAAATAGTTCCTGTGAGGAAAGCTTTTTTATAAAAGGAGTGGGGTTGTTTAGTCTGCAGAAAAATGTCTTCACGGTGACTTAATGACTATCTTTGAGTAAACACACAGTAACAGTTTTCCAGAACCACACCCTTCCCTGGGATGGAGGCTGGGTTCCAGTTCCAGATCTGTGGAGCTGACTGGAGCCCCCGCCCAGCATCTGCATGCCTCCTAACCATGTCATGCCCCCGGTGGAAAATTAATATTCTCTATTAATTTTTATAAAGGGTGGGGTTGAGGGTGTCAGAAACAGGGCTTCCTACCATGCCAGCAAGTTGAGATACAGGGATGACAGGTCGTAAAATGAAGTGGTTAAGAATTTGGGTTCTGGGGCAAACAAGTGGAGTTCCGGTTGAGGCTCTTAAGCCTTCAGGAAGTTACGGAGCCTCTCTGAACCTCAGTTTCCTCATCTGTAAAATGGGGATAATAATGGGAGCTTCTCTGTCAATTTGAATGAGACAATGCTGTATATGCCCGGCACAGAGAATGAACTCAGGAAATGCCAGCAGAGCCTCCCTGCCTGCATCTCTGGCTGCTGCTCTGCACCCCCTACCCCAGGACCATTCCTCCAGAGGACCTGCCTGGTGCCTCTGGGGGCTCTAAGGTCGCCCCTGGGGCGTGGCTCTCTGCAGGTCATCCTGTGAGCACCGCAGCTCATGGCAGTCTTTCCTACAGTCCTGGCCACAGTCTCATGGCATCTTGATCACCCGCTAGAAACATCCTGGGTGCTGCCTCAACCTTCCCCATAGCCCAGAGTGGGCAGAACCCAGCAGAGAACCACCACATCCACCAGGGACACCCCCCCTGCCCCCCAGGACATGGTGTCTGTTCACCATCTCCTTCGTGCCATTTGCCTGCTCCGTGACTCGCGTTATTTCTGACCTCATTTCCCCCTGGCAGATTTTTCTCTTTAAGCGCCTGGAGATGTTCTGGCCATATCCGGGCTCAGGAAACTCTGGGACTTGGTAGCATCCCCTGATTCCAATTTCTGTGTGAAAAGCAAACCACAGGCTCAGAAACACACAGTTCCAACCAAACCCAACTTGGGAGGTTTCCAAAGTAGGAATGGCAAATTGAAGACTCCTAGTGACCCTGCATTAAACATAACAGACACACCACACAGGTACCTTGGTGCTTGCAGAGGACCGAAGAGGAAGCAGGCTCAGATTACAGCAGGCATGGGATTGGGGAGCCGGCAGTTGTGAGGTGTAAGGCAATTGACCTTGAGGGTAATTAAACTTCCAGAAAGGCTCACTCAGGAGGCTGTAGGTTCCCTATCTCTAAAAACAGAAGCAGGGAAGTGGGGAGGGGCAAGATAGAGGTAGGAGATTAAGAGGTACAAACTACTATGTATAAAATAAATAAGATACAAAGATATATGGTACCATAGGGATATAACCAATATTTTATAGTAACTATAAGTAGAATCTAACCTTTAAAAGTTGTGGATCACTATGTTACACACCTGAACCTTATATAATATTGTACATCAACTACACCTCAATAAAAACATTAAAAAAAATAAAAATAGGAGCAATAGCCACCTCTGGGACAGTTCAAAGGTAGACCTGCCTGGAGGAGGAAGCTTAAACCAGGAGACCCCTCCCTATACCTTCCGCTGCCCCTCTTCTCTCAGGCATAATGAAGGGCAGTTTTTGCCCCACAGGCAGTATTTCCTGTAACATTCAAAGAACTAATGGTGGCTGAGCTTTGGAAAACGAATGATGGCCGCTTGGATTTTTAAGAACTGGCAGTCAGAAGGGAAAAACATGTGATTGTAATGGCCCGCCTGTATATACAGTTGACTCAAGAAAACAGTCATTATTGGGAAGGGCTCTTTGAGCAGGCAGAAGGGATTTGCTCCAAGAAGACACCCATTTTTACAGAGTCTTTCCTGCCAAATGGCATTTGGGGTCTAGGGAAAATTTAACTTAAAAACCAAATTAAGTTAAATGAATACGTATACGTATGCTATAAAGAGGTGTTAGAGGCCTAGGTGGGTAGTCTCCATTTCACAAGGGACTTCTACACAAAAGTCAGATGCACACAGTCTCCCAGGGTGACTTAGGTAATGCTCACTTTTCTGTTCACTCTCTGAAGCAAGGCAGGCCTAAAGGCGTGCTGTTTTCTTACGATTACTTGAATGTCTTGATTCAAGGTGGGAACTACTTCTTTTGATGAAACTCTGCTCACAGCCAGTTTTGTTCTGTGTTTTTAAGAGAAAGTTAACAGAATTTTCCCCTGGCTTTACTGAGATATCATTGACTTATAACACTGTATAAGTTTAAGGTTTACAACATGATTATTTGATATATGCATATATTGCGAAATGATTACCTCAGTAAGATTAGTTAACACATCCATCACATCGTATGGTGACAGTTTGTTTGTGTGTGTTGAGAACTTTTAAGATCTACCTTCTTGGCAGTTTTGTTGTTAACACATTATTGACCGGGGGATTTTTGCAGAAACTAACTCCTGTGGCCATAATACACGTCTCTGGTCAAAAATGTGTTGACTAGAGTCCATGCTGAACATTAGGTCCCCAGAACTTTTTCATCTTATAACTGGAAGTTTGTACCCTTTGACCCATTTCCCCACCCCCAAGCCCTGGCAACCACTGATCTCCTCTCTGTTTCTGTGAGTTTGTTTTGTTTTAGATTCCGCATGTAAGTGAGATCATACGGTATTTATCTTTCTCTGCTTGGCTTATTTCACTTAACGTGATGCCCTCAAGGGCCATCCATGTTGTTGCAAATGGTAAATGTCAGGATTTCTTTTTTATGCCTGAATGATATTCCTGTATGTGTGTGTGTGTGTGCATGTGCATGCGTGTGTGTGTGTGTGTGTGTGTCACGTTTTCTTTATTCATTGTCTGTTGATAGATACTTTGGTTGTTACTATGTCTTTACTATTGTGACTTATTCTTTCTAATGCAATTTTAAGAGAGGTCATTGCACAGAAATTCGTATGCCCAGGCGGTGTCAAATCTATGGATTAATAACACCTCCCAAGTCCCTTCTATCATTATTATGGTGCTATGAATTCTGGGTGATTCTGGCAAAATGGTCCCAGCATCACCAAGGTGAATAGTTTTGAAAAGTTCTTTTGTTTCATGAAATCAATGACTTTGAGAGCTAAAAGGGACCTGAAAGAGGCTTCAGGGCTAATGGCCTCCTCGATAAGGGAAAGCAGGCCCAGAGAAATGACATGATCTGCTTAGGTTGGGAGAAATAGTTGGTGATGAAGCCAGGATTAGAAATGAGGAGCTCCTGATGCCTCATCCTGTGCTCGTATCCATCCGTCTGTCTGTCCGTTCATGCATTCACCTCCCCGTCCATACCACACCGTCTACACCTCATCTATTCTAGGCTCTCTGACCCAACCTCGGTATCCTCATTTTCTAAACGAGGTGTTGGCTTATAGGACTTCTCACATGTGTCCCGGCTCTAAGATTGTCTAGAAAGGGCAATTGTTGGCGCTGGATTGCAGGCACGGCGCCTTCAACGTAAACCATTTGTGCAAAACCAGAAGGAAAGCTTATCTCATTCAACCTGCCAGTCAGGTCAATAAGAACAGGACAAAGAATTAAGAAACATGCCACAGCTAGTCTGCTGGCTGGGCCAATGGGATAACTTGATGTTTCCCAGCCATCTTCCTGGTTTTCAGTGGTGAAGTTGTAGCAAAAAGAGTCTTCCAAAGAGAATTGAAAATATTTTTCATTTCGGATGGTTACTTGCCCTTTGACAGTAGCTGACCTGCCTCTTAGTGAGTCAAGACTTGTTTTTCCCACATTCCACAGGATTATTTTTACATCTCAGATTAATAGAGAAATTATTAATTGTTGAAAAATTAAATTTATTACGGAGAAAGAACACCATCAGAAGCTATCTCCTGCTGGGATACTTCTTGCAAGCAGCAATGTGGGGTCTGTTTTCAGTTTGTAGGTAGAACATTTAGAAGCTTGTCAACCTATTAAAAGATAGTCTTCTCTTTAAGCATGAAAGATAGAGTGAAAGGAGTTTTCAAGAAAAGGATATTTGAGATTGTTTTTATGTTTTTGTTTTTTGGGTTTTTTTTACTATTTCAGGGGATCTAATGGAAAACTCTAGCTCTCAACCCATGTGCCTGTAATTTAGCCCATGTGTCTGTAATATGACAATATTGAGATACTGAAGCATATTCTCTGTAGATATTTCACTAAATAATTTGAATGCGTGAATTAATTCGGTGCTATAGAGGAAGATATTTGGCTGATGAGGGGTTGAAGAGTAGTTGGGACCCCAATGACTGACCCAGTGATGGGGGGCCGGGGAGTGGGGGAGATGTCCCAGTAGTGTGGATCGTGGATTGGACATTCTGATGGCACAAGCCA